AACAAAACAAAAGTGTGATGTGTGGTTCCTTTATTTATTTTTTAATTGAAAACGGCCACTTATATTATACATGTGCGGTAAATTATTATTATAATTGCCTGTGGTTATTGCACTACCGGCAAACAACCAATAGCGAAACTGTAGAATTTTGTTTCTCCACTCATTTTAATTTGTGAGATTTTATTTTTGCATTGTCATCGTCAACATTGCTCAACCTTGAAGCATTGTTTAAATTCTTTTTTAATGGAACAAATTTTACAGCACTGATGATAGGAATTTTAGAATTATCATTGTTTGGTTTTTAATTTTATGTCTAATATACTTTCAAGAAGAGGTAGGAAGAACATATTCATTGTTTCTTTTAATTAGGGTAATTGAAATAAAGAATTTATACTTTAGATGAATTCATTGTCTCATGGAATTACTTTAGGCAGAAATTGTTCCTTATAAATTATGCCAAAAATTTCTATTTTTCTTATGAACTTGATTTTTGTTGCTCTATTTATGACAGTTAATATACTCGAAATTAAGTGAAATATTTGCTCTATAAAGAAATTTTATCGTAGTTTTTTTTATGAGAAATTTTATCATAGTTAAATGCAATATTAAATTATAATATCTTGGAGGGTTACGTTGGAATTTCACCAATGACACTCGACATGACCCGGTTTCAGTCCACGTGTTGGGATCTGAAAGCGTCGTAATACTCGTGGGTCGGTCTGCTTTGAACACAGAAAGGGCATGGGCAACCGATAGGTTCGGTGATCGGGGTCAATCAGAGTTGGGGTTTAAGCGGAGGTTGGGAGTTTTTCCAGAGGGTTTTGGTATGGCCATTGGTATTTTAACACAGAGAAGAGAGGAAAATTACATCTATATCAACGATTTCTGAGAGATTAGGAGATAGAAACAAATGAGACACAGAAAATGTGGTAAGAAAATGCATCGATTTTTTTACTGTTTGTCCAATATTCTACCCTTCTTCAATCCTCACCTGCGAATCTGTGTGTTTATCGAATTTCCAATTCCCGGGGAAAGATTAAACTTTGCTGGATCATTGCCAAAAGATGGCTGTTTTTGTGAGAATTCTATTTTGATTGATTTTATTTGATGGGCTGCTCGAAAAGTTTGGGTTTTTCTTTTTATTTTCTCTTTTAATCATGGTTTTTTTTAATCTTTTACTCAACGGTGCGTTAGATTTCTGATGATAATCTGGCGAAAACGGGCAAGAGTTTTGATTTTAACTGTTTTGTTTTTTGTTTTTCCCTTCAGAACTGGGGGTTTGATCGCGTTGCATATTCTTCTTGGTTATTGCTTTTACAGGGTCATAGATCTCTTAGAAAATTCTACTAGCAAGACTGTGTACACGGTCATACCAGTGCTCCTGACCTGATTCTTTCATTCTTTGATCATGATCACTCGTAGTCTTTGGGGTTTAGTTGTGGTTTGGAATTAATGGTTTTTGTAATGGTTTGAGTATTTCATCATGTTATTTAGTGTTATGAAGTTAATGTATGTGTCTTTTCGTCAGAAGTTCTATCACTTATTATCTCATTTTATCACTTTCAGCCAGGATGAAGGCTATGTTTCTCCTAGACATTCTGCAGCTGATCATGTTATGTAGAATAGTTTTACCTTAATAATTGTTCTCACACCAGTACTCCCTTCAAGCCTTTCATATTGAGCAATTACATTAATTTGTTTCCAGGACCTTGATCATTGGCCTAGATCCCAAGTGATTTATGGAGCTTTCATAGGTTCGGATTAAGTTTGGATGTTTCTAGATTTTGTGGGATGGTTACTAAGCTATGGTTATTGGCAATAGACTAGATTATGGTTTCAATGGGTATCAGGTGCCCCCAATGCCACGAGCTACCAGATCAGCTAGGGTACATATCTTTTACTGTTCCATTGCCTCTGTGTCTTATGTCTGGTTTCTGTTTTTGGGATTGTTACTAATTTGTATAGTCCCTTTTGTCTCTTTTTTGGGATAGAGAAATGGTACTACTAGAAAGAGCGTTGATGACAAACAAATGCATGCATTTGACTTGCTGGCCTCTGCAGCTGGAAATTTGTTGCGTGAGATGAGTCCCCCATCGTTTCGTGACACATCAACTGTAAAAGGTAACGGTGCAAAGGTTGTTATCGAAAAGTCGTCTTATGCACTCTATATAAAGTTGAAAACCTAGTTACCAGTGAAGCCGTGGCAGGAAAATTTCTTATTTCTGAGCTCCATTTGCAGGTCATGATCAAGATTGTAGTTTAAAGGAATATTTTTCTTCACATGAAGAATATCCTTCAGCATTTCCTCCTGATGCTATGATTTCTTATGCTACAATGAACACTTCAACTTCTCAGAGTGTTGATGCTGAAAATTTGACGAACCAGAAAACCATTGAAATTGGAAATCTTGTTAATGAAGTTGGCTTTGCTGGTCACACCAAGTCGTGTGATCACAATTTAGATGGTGTAAACAAGAATATAGTGGAAGATAAATCTGAGAAGGTGATGAGTGGTGCTGAGTTTGCAATGTGCAGGTCTTCAGATCCAGTAATCTGTGATTGGAAACCACACATGTGGGTGTGCTCGGAAAATGGTTTCAAGGTATCATCATGCAAGGACCACGGTCCTCAGCACCCTTGTCCCACAAGTCAAGAAGTAGTTGGAAGAGATGATGACAATAACACCTTTGGGTGCATTTACCCAACTACCACAAGAAATTCTTTCTGGACCGCTCCTCATATCAGAGGCCGTAGAATAAGAAAGATATTGGCGTCAAAGAGCTGGAAGGTTGCTGTGAAGTATGGAGCTGAGAGACCTAATATTGGTAATGTGCCTGCACTATTGCATAATTCGGTTAATACTTGGTCATGTTTGACTATTTTGACATCTATCTATTCTGCCCTATTTCATTTGTAGGTGGGTATGCAAGGCAATTTTACTTCAACAAGAGAAAATTCTACAAGAACCAAAGATCTCAAATGAATATCCCTTTCAAAAAAAGGAAACTCTTTGATGGTTGCTTATCAGATTCAGATTGTAACCATAGAAGAATAGTTGAGAGAATTTCTGAATCAACTGAGAAGAGAAGGGAATCTTCTGGTTTGTATCTGGAGATAATGGAGTCTTTCGAATATGGTTTCCTGATTTTGTTATTTACATTTATTCCGCTCCTGATGGCTTACTTGAGTGTTTCAAAATGATCTTGCAGTGCATGGGAAATCATCTTTAGTTGCAGGACATCAGGGGGATTCTCGTGGTATATTACCTATAGAGTGTGCAATGTTTTGACTTGATCAGCGTCTAAACATTTCAAAGAGGATCTTATGGAGATGTTTTTCTTTGTTCTTAGTGAAGCTGAGGATAAAATCTTTCAGGGTACCTGAACTTTTCATTGAGATTTCTGAAACTGCAACTGTCAGTTCACTGAAGGTATGGTTGGGAACTACTACTGCCTCTGCTTCAACATGCATGTTCATGGAGATGATACGTAAATCATTTGTACAAGTCATGCATTATTCTCTTGAGTCTTGAAGGATCTTTTTTCTCGGTAATTAGCTCTCAAGCATAGGGGAATAATTCTTAAAAGATTGTGTACTTAACTCCTACGTTGACTGCTATAATTTCACTACTTCCTATAATAAGTTGAACATTTATCTGTAGTAAAAAGTGGATATCAACTCCTGCGGAACATATCTTCCCCTATGCATGTACACCTAGATGTATCATTTCTGCTTCTACCTTGTCTTTCATGATGAGAAGGTTTAGAAGATTCTTGACTGGGATTAAGTTATTGGTGTCCGTATTTTACCTTGTTTTTGAACATATCTTAATCCTGCGATGAATTGACTAAATGACTACAAGTTTACTGTCTTGCATCCTTATCACTTCATTTTTCTGCAGAGGACTGTGATGGAGTCAGTGAGCACTATTATTGGTCATGGTATACATGTCGGCGTACTTTTACGGGGAAAGAAGGTCAGGGATGATAGTAAAACCTTATTTCAGTCCGGAATCTCTCATGATAACCAGGATGAGTCCCTGGGATTTACACTAGAGCCTCATTCTTCACACCATGGAGAGTCTCCCCCTACATTTCCTTGTAGTAGTACACCTGAGGCTGTAACCAGGTGTTTCATTCTATTCACAAGATTTTCGTTCTCCAATAAAGAGTGAACAGTAATGACTAAGTGAACCATTCTTCAAGTTGCTAATGCATGTACCCATCATGTCCCCTCCCCTGTGCACACTTTGCTTTTGTCCTTCTATGGCATGGTGCTGCAGGGCTGTTGCCATTTTATTTACTTTGTTCAATTTCTCATACTCATAATGATGCAATATTTTCTTCCGTGGAAAAGGTAGACACGATATTTGGCTGCGCTCCAGTTATGCTACGTAATATTTTTGTCATCATCTTATATTATTATGCTCTTTTAATAGGCGCCCTCCCAATCCAACGGCAGATTATCCAGGCAATAATTCTGCATTGTTGCGTGAGGCTCATGCGACCAAGGCGAGTAATTCAACTGAGAGTGCTTCTGAGCCAGTCCCCTCTCTTGCTTATACGCCAGCTGAGGAAAGATCATCAGATTCTAAAGCACTGGTTACTGTACCAGCCATGGCTGTGGAGGCAGTAGCTGTAGTTCCAGTCGGCCAAAAATCTAAACAATTTGAGGTTGGCCACCGCAGAATGCGTAGACCGTTTTCTGTTGCAGAAGTGGAAGCCCTGGTTCATGCTGTTGAAACACTTGGCCCTGGAAGGTATGTTGTTGAAACCTCAACTAAGAGTTATAAAAAAAAACAACTTTAAGTTTCTTTATAATCATCATTGAAGTAAAAATGTGGACGCACATTCATGAAGGATCTCCCATATATGTGGTTCTGTTTTTTTTTTTTTTTTTGCTACAACTTGTGCAAGTACTTGTTAGATTAAGGTACAAATTTCATCTTCATTCGAGACTTTTCATGCTGCTTATGAGATTTCATTTCATACTGTAGGTGGCGTGATGTTAAACTACGAGCATTTGACAATGTTAAGCATCGTACTTATGTTGATTTGAAGGTATGGTAACTGTTCTATATCTATATTAACCCACCCCTTCTCTGGCTTCTGTAAGTTCCTTCGAAATGTGTTCCATTTCAGTGTTGCTCCCTTTTTCTGATGTTTTTTGGTATCCTTTTATGTACTCTTTCATTTTCTGAATTGAAGCTCGACTTTTCATGGAAAAAAAAATTATTGCTGAACAATTTAAAAGAGATTTAAATGTCTCTAAACTTTTAGGTTTACTCGTCTTAAAAGGTGTATTTTTGTCTTAAACTTTCAAAATAACCATTTTGGTGTCTAAACTTTCAAACTCTATATATACTTCAAGCCCCTAAACTATAAAAGCTATTATTTTGCCATCAGATGCCTGTCAGTCTATTGCTTGCCTGGCCAACATATATATCTGCCTCAAACACATGTTTATGCCATTACATTAATACATTTACTCAATACTATATTATCCCTTTGTTAAAAGTAAAATTACGATTATTTTTTCTGAAAATTTACCAGTAGAATAGATATTTTAGGAGTTGAAAAACTCATATGAAATAGCATTTAAAGAAAGAAATAAAAACAGAAAGTAAAGGCATAACAGTTGTGTTTGTAGAGGAAAATAGGAAGTTTTGTGATGCTGTTTTAAAATGATTGGTGTGTGATGCAATGCAGGACAAGTGGAAAACATTAGTGCATACAGCAACAATATCCCCTCAGCAAAGGAGAGGAGAACAAGTTCCTCAACAACTTCTGGACAGAGTCCTCAAAGCCCACTCTTATTGGTCTCAACACCAACTCCTCACAAAGCTTCCTCCACCAACCAAATCCATGTAAATCTTCCTTTTCTTTTCTTTTTCTCACCCTTTTCAAAAATAGTTCTCTGAAAAAAAAAATGTGTTTACTAGGAAAATAAAAGTTGTATATTTGCTTTGTTCTAGGCTCAAAACTAAGGTCTTCCCTCTACTTCCATGCTGTAAATTATTTGTCAATAACGATAAATATAAAGTTTGACATCTGTTTTGGTCTTTGAATTACTTTCATTCTAATTCTTCACATCTCGAATATTTTACATCTTTAGTTTCTCATTAATCGTTGAGCAAAACGTTCATCTATTTTGTAACCTGATGCATGATTTGTTGTATGTATTTCAAATACAAAACAATCCGATGCATTAATTTATTTAATTATTGGTAAATGTTAGTAATGCTTTATCTATATTGTTTAATTATTTTTAACTATCAGACCATATAATAAGACACCCGCGGAGCTGCTATAACGTCAATCTCGTTGAAGTCGAAAAACAGTCTATTTTGAGCATGTTCATTTCCTCGCGTGATTAAGGTTCATGAGAAGATTGAACTGACATGAGGTAAGCTCGATGTTTTGGGAAAAACTCTTTCTAAAATAAGAAAAAAATTCTGCAACGGGATAAGAAACGTCGAGAGGATTGACGAATCTAAGAGAGGGATCCAGAATCTGAGGAAGCGACTGGAATCGTTCAAAGGCGCTCCAACCCTTATGGTTATGGATAAGGATAAATAAATATAAGCAAGTCTATTAGTACACAACACTCGTATATTATATCATTTTCCCCCATAATTGGATTGCAAGTTGTAGGTATATAATAAAGCGCAATTTTCTTTCCATTTCGTTGACATCGTAGTAAAGAATAATAATTTTTGAAAAGTCATGGTAAACAGTGTTATATGGTTGATATCTATAAATCACTTTTCATCTCTAGAAGAAAATACCAATGTCTTAATCATATGAGTTAAATTATATAAGTTAGTCAGAGAATTTGTATGTACATGAGCTAAATTTATATATTAACTAAGATAATAAAATTATGGTCAAATTATAAATTTTATCCTAAATAGTCCTATCATATTGCATACATGAGATATATATATATATATATATATATATTTTTGAAAGAGATTGTTAACAATAATATTATGATTTAAGTTTGGGTATTTACAAAATAAGGAAAAATGAGTGGGTTTTCAAATATCATTTGAGGGCGATTAAGTTCAACTACAGAGACTCAAATCTAATCTAAAATAAAAAGAAACTAAATTAAAATGGCATTATATTTTATAATTATTTAAATTACACAAATAGAATAAAAATAGAAGTGAATTTCTTGGGGAACAAGTCGAGGCAGAGCACAAGAATGATCAAACTTGAAAGGGTCAAAATTGCCAATGTTCAAAAGCAGCAGACAGACACACAGACAATGACGGCAGCCTGAAATGGTCCAAACTCCAAACACAAACAAAAACAAAATAAATATTATCTTCCCATTTTCCCACAGCATCTGACTTTTGAACAAAAAGCACTTTTCCACAAATCACAAAATCCGAACGGATTCAGTGTATTCCACTTCTTCCTAAACCCTTTTCCCCTTATCATAATGATGTTGTCCTTCACCTTTTTGTCTGGTCAATTTCTTGCCCAAATCACAGTCCTCAATACCCATAGAGGTGTAACTGAGTCAGGTTGGGATGATTTTCAAACTCAATATCATGAATCTATTTCATCCACATCCAAGTCAAGTCATCTCAATCAAATTAATAAATTTTGCTACTTTCTTTTCTATAACCTTTTTGACTTGGACAAGATCGGAGTCTCTGTTAAGGATCTTAAATTTAAAAAAATAAAGGATCTAGAAAAGATTTATAATAAACCTGAACTATTTCTGATATGGTATCAGAACCCAACAAACTCAGATGAGCATCCGATCCAAAAATAAGATCCGTCTATAATTGATGGGACAAAAAGAATCATGATCTTGCGGAAATCCATGGATCTTAATAGGCTCTATTCGATTTATTCCATATATAGCTAAATGGAAGATACTAGTTTAATAGTGGAAATTCGAGTCTAAGCTAATGTCGCTTGTCAACACAAATCAAAGATAAAATCCTATACTCATGGACCGAATTATGATCCAAGCACATTTTAGGCATGGGGCAACAATTGGCTCATGTCTATAAAATAACACTTCTCTTCCAAAAGCACTTGATAAATTTACCATATTATGCAAGTCAACCCACATGTCATCAAAAATTGAAAATAAACCTCTACATCTACAATCATATCGCTATTTCAAGTAACTCAAAATTGATTGATACCTTGCCGATCAAATTGCAGAATAGAAAAGAACTACAAATTAAATTAAAAATAGACCTTACAATTGAAAGAACCAAAAGTATATTCCAATTTAAAGTTTAGAGTATTGATCAAGCTTTGAGAAAAACAGGTTAGTCAATGCATACAAGGTTGAATGGACTGGTTGCAGGAAAAAGTGGAAAAATTATACTAAATTATTCAAACCTCTATTCTAAGAATAAACCGAAGAAATGGACCTATTTTTCTTTATTTTATTGTCATTTTCCACCTTCACAATTTTTTTAGTACAACGCGTGAATGGAGAATCGAACTTACAACCTCTTGGTTGGAGATATATACCAATTACTACTTAACTATTCACAACTTCCTTGCTTATAAATTTGGTAGTCACAATCTCATTAATACCTAATATTCAATATCTAGAGCTTGACCAAAAAATTAATATTTCAAGACCTAATATATATACATAAGAGAGTGATAGAAGGGATAACAAAGCTAGAGCTTGACCATTATACAATCGTAATCCAAAGGAAAACAAGAGCACGTGGGCAATTAAAGTCAAAACCAGAGAAGTATTAGCAAAGCAGGGTGCTATGACCATACTTACTCTGTAATCTTATTTAATTAATTATTTTTAAAATTGTCCCGATGCTTTAGAATTTATTCTATATACTTTCATGTATCTAAATTTAGTTACGGTAATTTCAATAAATCTTAAAATTAATCTTCATGGTTAGTTTATAGTTAACTTCTACTCGAAAAATGAAAAAAACTACGCTATTATTTTTTAAATTATTATCAAAATCTCTATTATTTTTAAAAGTGCATAGGGATATCTCTCCCTCCCAAGAACTTCTCGCCTTCTTCTTTTTCTCTATCCTTCAATCCTTTGTCTCCATTTTTTTCTCAACTGTAACCTCATTTTTCTCTTTTCTTTCGTTTTTTTCCAACCTAATACCGTTCAAATTCAGGGGATACAAAATAAATCTTCACAATATAAAGGTACACTATAAATAAATATATAACAATTTTATGTTTGTTGGAAACCAATTCTCTTGTTAGTCGAAAATGGGAAAAGAAAGCACAAATTTTGAAGAAGCTAGAATCTACCTGATCGCAGTGAATCCAGTCCACGGGAGCGACGGCTAACCATTACAAACAAAGACAAATCCCTTAATCGCTTCGTTTGCGAGTCACTCTCAAGCAGTCGTTTCCAGGAAAGTTCCGAAGAACACAATATTTATTTCGACCTTATAAGCCTAAAAACCTACTGTCTCCCCCCAATCGTTTACTGCTCCTCTCCATTTAATTTCCTCCATCTTTTCAGGTAAGCTATAAACTTCTTTCCCTTTTTCTGTCGGTTGCTTTTCCCCTCTTCTAGCTTTTGATTCTGTTCATTTGTCTGCGACCTTCTGTTCTTCTAGCTCCAAGTTTTAAGAACTACTACTTGTTCTTGCTGCTTTTGTTCCTCTAAGTAATTGGGTTTTCTTGTTAAACACTGTTTCTATCGTTGGTAGCTATGGATCCAAACTTCAATGGATTCCCAGATCGTAGAGTTGATTATCAGACCCCTTTAGCCCAATTAAATGATCCTCCCAATTATTTGACTGATGGGTTCAGAGTGAACGATCGGACTTCTTTGCCCACTTCGTATCTGTACCCTGAACTCGAAAAGAGTTTCGAATTCAACGAGCCATCTCTGGATCTTTTTCCCTTTGTGGGGAATTCCCTTTTCCCCTACGAATCGGACCCTAACAATTTTTCATCGGGGTCGAGTGAGAGGCGGGAAGGGGAGTCGTTTTCTCGGTCGGTGAGGTTGAGCTCGGACGGGGGTGGTCCCGGGGTATCTTCAGGCTTCAGCCCTGGTGGTGACTCTTCCTCGGACGAGAGTGACTTTAGGGAAACAGTTCTCAATTACATAAGCCAAATGCTTATGGAGGAGAATTTGGAGGAGAAGCCCTGTATGTTTTATGATCCTCTGGGGCTTAAAGATACTGAGAAATCGTTCTATGATGCTCTTGGTAAGAACTACCCTCCTTCGCCTAACCAACCTCCCCTGGATTGTGAGAGCTCTGAAGATGCTTGTCATGGAAATGACAGTGATCATGCTGGTAGTGTTAGTATTGGCACCAGCAATTCGCCTGACCCGCAATGGGTTGTTGATCCTGGAGAGTATAAGCCCTCTATACTTCCAACGTCTTTTCCTGTCAGCTCCTATCAGTCGAATTTCGAGCTCAGTTCTGGCAGCCAAAACAACCTGACTATTAACAGTCATCAGCTAGTCACTGAATTGTTGGCTCAGAATATCTTTAGTGATAGCACTTCCATCTTGCAATATAAGAAAGGGTTGGAGGAGGCTAGTAAGTTTCTTCCGGGAGTTAGCCAGCTGAATATCGATCTGGGCAGTGGCCTGTTGACAGGAGTAGCTTCTAAGGTCATGGATACAACAGCAACAGTGAAGGATAGAAGGGAGAATTCACCGAATGGATCGAAGGGAAGGAAAAATCATGAACGTGGAGATGTAGACTTGGATTTGCAAGAAGGGAGAAGAAACAAGCAGGCTGCCGTTTATGTGGATGAGGAAGAATTATCTGACATGTTTGATAAGGTATTACTATATGATTGTGGAAATGAAACCTCTGCAAATGGTGGGTGTGAGAAATTGCAGTCTACCGTACAACTTCATGGATCGATTGCTGGGAAAGCTCGGGAAAGGAAACAGGAGAAGAGAAAAGACTCTGTGGATTTGAGAAATCTTCTGATTTTATGCGCACAAGCTGTGTCTACTGATGACCGTCGGATTGCTCACGAACTACTTAGGCAGATTAGGCAGCATTCTACAACGATTGGTGATGGTTCCCAGAGAATGGCTCATTTCTTTGCTAATGCTCTTGAGGCTCGCATGGTTGGCACTGGCACAGGAAGCAAAATGTACTATGAAACACTAGCGCAAAGCAAGATTTCAGCTGCTGATATGTTGAAAGCTTACCAAGTTCACCTTTCATCCTGCCCTTTTAAGAAACTCTCGCTCTTTTTCATGATTAAAATGGTTCTGAAGGTTGCAGAGAAGGCCAAAAGTCTTCATATTATTGATTTTGGTATTTGCTATGGTTTCCTCTGGCCAATGTTAATTCAGTTTCTTTCCCAACTCCCTGATGGTCCACCCAAGCTACGCATTACTGGTATAGATCATCCTCAACCAGGATTTCGTCCAGCAGAAAAAATTGACGAGACAGGTCGACGTTTGGCTAAGTACTGCGAGCGCTTTAAGGTTCCTTTTCAATATCAAGGGATAGCATCACATAACTGGGAAACTATCCGAATTGAGGACTTAAAGCTTAATAGCAGCGATGTCCTTGTTGTGCACAGTTTCTATAGGTTTAAGAACCTACTTGATGAAACTGTTGAAGAAAGTAGTCCAAGGGATGTTGTTCTGCGTTTAATAAGGAAGATGAATCCAAACATCTTCGTCCATTCCGTGGTTAGTGGATCCTACCACGCGCCCTTCTTCATAACGCGGTTTAGGGAGGCCCTCTTCCACTTCTCTGCATTATATGATGCTTTAGATGTTAATTTACCTCGTGAAAGTGAAGAGAGGATGATGATAGAGAGAGAGTTTCTTGGGCGCCAAATTATGAACGTAGTAGCATGTGAGGGTGTTGAGAGGGTCGAAAGGCCTGAGACCTACAAGCAGTGGCATGTCCGGTGTATGAGAGCGGGTTTCAAACAGCTTCCTTTAGACCAGGAGATCATGAACAAGTTCAGGTGCAAGTTAACATGCAATTACCACAAAGATTTTGTACTTGATCAAGACGATGGCTGGATGCTACAGGGATGGAAAGGCCGGATTGTGTATGGTTCTTGTTGTTGGGTGCCAACATAGAAACGTTGCTCGCTAGAACTCGGGATCGGAAAACGGTACTCCTCACAACGACGTGAGAGACATAGATGAGAGGTGCATTCAACTAGATGATGAAGATTGAGATACTGTTCTCTCTACGGCTGGGAGACATGAAGGCCAAGCCCTGAACAAGACGCTAAGCTTGTCTCAGTTTGTTTCACTAGTTAGATCTGTTCAATGCATGAACTTGTAACATTAATAGGAATGAAAATGACAGCCATGAACTGTGGAACTAAGCATGTTGATGTAGTCATCAGGAGAATAGTGTATTTTGTAAATGAGTAGTTTGAGTAGCAATACATTTTCCAGCAAGCACTATTGAGTCGTAATTAGACTGAATTGATCCAATTCGAATTCTATGGCCCATAAGATGATCAGCCAGCAGGGACTTTTGTCAAAGATGAATAACAATCCATCTCGAGTTTGGAATACTTCAAATATATCATGGATACCAATCAAATTCAATAATAAATCTGTACCATAGATACAGTCCATTTGGATGACTTTTTCAGAAATATTATTTTCCTCAAAACGGTTTTTCATTTAAAAATTGTCAGATTCTGGGTGTTCCTAGACAATATCACCTCTCTATTTCCTACGATTTCAACATGTTCTTAGAAATTAAAATAAATAATATTTTTGAGAAAAAACCTTTCTCAAACACCATATTTCAAATTCCAACAGAAATATTTTAAACAACAATCTGTCTGAGGATGGGAATTATCAGGGTGAAAAAGATAATAAAAATATGATTGGATTCAATGTTCAAACTCTCCGATTGAGACTTGAGATTGCATCATTACTTCATTATGGGCTTCTCTTTCAACCCTGATTCCTGAAAGTGACTAATGTTCCATAATTACATCATAGTATTTTTCTGGCATTTCAATAAAGGATCCAAACTTCACTCCTATTTCTGATGATTATCCGATTATGTTCTCATGTTCCAACAAAGCTTCCGCTGATATAGCTAGATGAGTCCAAACTAGTTTCCTAAGAAAAAATTTACTTATTTACTATCAACCACGCCATTATTATTTAAAAATGATGCGAGATCTAATTGCAGTGAAGAATTATTTATTTAAAAAAATAATTGGATGAAAAAAAAAAGAATAGGTATTGCCAATGCGCTCGTACCTTTGAAATCAAATCTTAATTCTCTGTTATCCATTATTGTCAATGCTCTCGTACCTTTGAAATCAAATCTTAATTCTCTGTTATCCATCGTCACCATAATGGACCATTATCCTACCATCAAAAGTTTATAGGATAGAAATATTAATGATACATCGCCAAAAATTATGATCCATTGAGTTATCATGAATCTTTTGAGTCCATGTCAACCTTTTATCTGATAAATGAACCCCTTCGGAAAATTGAGATTTGTTGCACATATTAGCTCAAAAATTTGAGTAAGAAATACCATCCAAGAAACTATAAATGACCTATCGAGGCATTTGCAATTTCACAATTTAAACTAGAACGTGTGGCTTAGAAATCAAACAATCTCCATATTGTTGATTATATACCACTTGTTTCCAATGGCCGGTTCTTATCCAAATCTGCGTGTTAACAGCGATAGATTATCCCGAAACAGGACTAGATCCTGAATCAAGGCCACAAGTTTCTGCTTGGAAAAATATTGCTAGTGCTTTGCTGTTTCATTTCAGTACGATCGGATTGAATCCCAGAGTTGGAGACTAAACAAATTCGAGGACTTAGTATGAATGGAAATGAGGTACCTGTTGTGAAGTGTGAGCGGTATGTTCCAGCTCAAACATCTACTTGATAAGATGATCCATTGAAAAAAACTAACAGCAGTGGGAGATTCGTAAAGGAGTGAGCTTCAGACACATACATGTGGATAATATTAGTCTGAATTGGGTGGTTCGGCTGCATTAAAGTTGTTTACAAGCAACTATTTTCTACAAATATACTTAATATGCATGTCTACAAAAGAAAAAATCAAATTCTTCCAAACACAACAGCACCATCAAAGTGGTAGAGCAGAAAGCTAACTGGGATCTGAAAGACTTTATCCTTGAGAATTTTCAATATGATGGAGAGGGGGAATCATAAATGCTATATCCTGTCAGATTCCTAAGGGCAAAGCTTTACATCTAACATTTGCAGACTTCCTCATGAAAATCACATCACTTTGCAACTTCAATAAGAACATACTATACATTATAGATATATTGTTTGCTTTTATGCTTCCAGAAAAAAGATAACGATAATAATAGACACTAGTCACACTCCATTCGCTAGAAAAATAAACAGTAAAAAGATCAAACCAAACATAAATGAAGCGGATAACCAAAATGCTCTGAGGGGGAAAATGGAAACACCAACCTTGAACACAGAAATCTAACGAGTCAAAAATTAATTATACTCCATCTCGTACCATACCATCATTACTTAATCTCCACTCTTGTCACTCACTAAAAAATATAATTTGTACGCTATATTTTTCCATTTGCAATACAACTGAATTTTGCAGATATCTAATCTTTTAGGAAATTAGACAATACTCCAAGTGCTGGCCTTCATTCTTGATCAGGATTACAGGAACGTATGAATTAAGGAACTCAAATGAGGTAGATGTGTAACATCTAATTTTTTGAGAGAAGGGGTGGTAATTGACACTTCCAATTAATTGATCAGGCAATTCTAAACAGTCCTACATGCCCAGCAATTATGGCAAGAAATCCAGACAATTTCCTAAGAGCATAGGAACTGGATTCTCCACCCGTCTAAAGACTCACCCACATAAGCTTATCCGCTCTTATTTGGAGTCTTAGAGGGTCTAAGAACATTCCAGTCCAACTTTCCACCCTTTGGTTTCTTGAATAATCGTTTACCGTTATTAAATGATGGCTGCTGATTGTCCCGTACACTTTTTTGAAATTTAGTTTGATGCTGTTGCTGTCCATCAAGTTCAGGCACTACTTCAGATTGTTTCCTTTTAAGGTCCCCATTAGCCTCGTAATCATTTTCACCAATGTTTGAGCACACTGCTTCATTTTGTGAAGAACCATTTTCTCTGGGGAACAAAAATTCATGTCTAGAGATGAAAGGGTAATAAAGAAATAAGGAAAGAAAAAAAAAAGGAATGAGAATGGTACTTT